GCTCAATACGATTTACTATATTTAATAAACTCAACTCAGTATCTTATAAACAACTGCTTAGAAATAGTTCTAGAACGTGAAGTAAATATTATTAAAATTCCTGCAATAAGAGAAAGCAGAACAAACTCGCACGAGTATCGATTTAAAAGTTGCAGAGATGCTTACTATGCCAAGCCAGTTAGATAAGTTCAATGACGAGCGGTCGGTCAAGTGTAACAGCCAACTCTCTGGCTTTTCAACATTCCAAATTTACGTCTGCGCGAGTAACAATGCCCTCTGCAGATCGGTGCGTTCACCGGTTTCCCCGGTGGAAGCTCGCGCTCCGCTCGAGGGGTTAATAAATCGCGAACGTCGGAGCGGTAACGCGAGAAAGGACGTGGCAACCTTTCCTCCACGGTGGCGACCGTGGCCGTGGTCGAGGCAGCACGCTACGTAGGAAGAAGGAAGTAAAAGCGTTGCACGCTTAGGCACGAGGACAAGACGCACGCCTATGGTTGCCGCGCTCCCGTGAATCAGCTGAAACGCGCGCGTAACTCCTGCCGCGTGTTCGGCGATCTCGCGTGTCCCACGAGACGCTTTCTCTCGGCTTCTCTTCGTCGTTGCTTCGCGAACAGCTGCTGAATGCCGATACTGTAAATACGCTCGCGTGACAAGAGGAGTCAACGGTGGCCTGCGACCAAGACGTCGAGCCTCGTTTTCAATGGACGAGTTATTTTACTGTCGCGAACGCGCTCGAACGCCTCGCCTCCGTTTAATCGAGTTCCACGCGTTGAGTTTGTGATGCCTGCGACGCGGTGATATCGTGCTCGATGTTTGGCTTGCGATTGCATATCGAAGGGTAAAGAGTACATCGGGCATGCGAAAGTATTTGAATAGGGCTTGGATTGGGTGAGGGAATTTTCAGGCGAGAAACTCGTCATGGCAGAGAATTTTTTTGATGTGAATGTTGGATAGGTGGAAAATATATATTTATAAAAGATTAGTATGGCAGGTGTATTCGAATACTTTCACGGATTACTGTACGTGCTCTAGTTAAATATTATTTTCTGTTAAGCACTATATTGTCGTCGTTTTACAATAGTAATGTTATAGTTTACAAAAGAGTTTTGATCTTGGCTTTGAGTAAAAGATTGTTGCAGACCCTTGATAAATAATTCTAGGCGAAGAAGATAATAATTCTCTACTTATGAAATTCTTATTAATATATAATTAAATATCTAAATAATAATTACTTTCTCAATCGAATAGTCGATTCACTGACGATTAATAAAAAAGAACCAGAAGCGTCTCAAACACACGATACTCGTCGACGTCAGGGAAACTTATTAACACGTTCAGTGCCAAGCGATTTTTGCCTTTTGTTGTCGTTTAGGCCATTTATATTTTGACTAAAAGTTGATATATTATCACACAATCTTTCATTACATCATCCGATAAATAGTTTCTTGTTTGGAATAGCCATCACATCGTGTACCACTTATCGTAATATTATTAGAAATATGGTGGTACACGTGGCCTGAAGATCAAGTTTATAACGTGTACCACCGGTGGTACATAGAACGTGTTAAACCCAGATGTTGCACTTTGAAGTACCCATCTGCCATTAAATCGTGAAATCGTCCATTAATATCATCTCATCGCTAGACTGCGGATTTCCATAAATTTTGTCGAATATTTAAAACGTAAAATTGTCCGAAGTTTCCATTTGGTTTCTCGATGTAATGCCAAAGTTACTACCAAGGATTTAAGTGATTGTCCAGACGAGGCTCGTCTCTCGCGCAAATCCGTCGCGGCGAGGGACGATTGGCGAACAAAGCCAGCTCCATGTCAGATACAATTACCAGGGATAATCCTTCGGCTCGGTTGTTTCTGTTAGGTCGTTCATCTTCCTCTAGACGATGCTATTCGTTAGAATCACGTGGGACGAGGCGCCGCGGATTTTGCGGGGAAATTTCACGTTCTACGTGTGAGTGAACTACTACTATTCTTCAAATAAATAAATATATTTGGTTATATTAAGAAACATGTATTTTGCAACTTGTAATTCATGTCAGTTCGTTGACATTATTATTTGGCAACTTAACACCAGAATTATTAAAATAGTCAACATGATCAATTTGTAATTTTTGCGATCGAAATTTTGAATGAAATTTTTCGTTAAAATAAACAAAAACATCTGTACTTTATTTTATTATAAAGTTCTTTTATTTTTTTTTTTTTTTT